AGATGCTGAGGCAGGAGGCTCTCAGGTTTAAGATCTCCCCTGGACTACTGTGTGGGTTCATGGTTAACCTGAGTAACTTAGTGAACTGTGTCTCAAAAAGTAAAAAGGAGACTTAAAGGGGGGCTGGGGTGTAGTGACAGTGTTGGCAGTTTGGTTTCTTTAAAAAAACAACACACACACGCACGCACACACACACACAGAAATATTATAAGAATATGTTTTCATTTTAATCCCAGGTGTGGGATGTGAGGCTGCTTCTGATTGTTCACAGCAACTGAATATGTTTTGCATTGTGCTCTAACCGGGACATGATTCTGCCAACTGCAGATAGTTTCTTTGATTGTGTGATGTTTGGAATTCTGGGGACTTTTCAGAGGGTATATAAATGCTAGAGCCCTGATAGGTTAGGGGGTTGTTGGCTGTTAAGTAGCCATTCGAAAAGAAGAAAGAAGAAATATATTTTGATGGCGAAGATCAAACTTGCCCAAAGGAACTGGAGGCCTCTAATCTGCAGGAAGTAGTCAAATGATAACGTTGCCCCCTTTCCCCTCTATCTTTTTTTTTCTGTCTAATGTTAAGGGTTTGAAAGGATGGGAAAAGGGAGAAGGGTGGAAGAAAGAACCTACAAAAGAGCCGAAGTCGAACTACACTGGGAAGAGGCTTAGAGGTCAGGGGCACTTGCTGTGCTTGCAGGGGCCCTTGGTTTGGTTCCCAGAACATACATCAGGCAGCTCACAGCACCATGTAACCTCAGCCCTAAGATTCAATGCTCTCTTAGGGCTTCTCTGAGTTGCAGACATGCTTGTGGTACATATACATATATTTAGGCAAAACAGGCACACAAACTAAAAGTAAATCTTTATCAACAACAACAATAACTTGAAATTCGGCCTTGTGGTGTAGATCTGTAATTCAAGCTACTTGGATGATAAAGCTGGGAATTATAAGGTTAAATCTTCCTAGACTTAAGTGTAAGTCTGTGCTAGCCTGGGCAACTTCATGAGACTCCCAAAGGACTGGCTATAAAGGGCTAAGGCTTCCCTTAGGTTAGGAATAGAATGGCTCAGTTAGCCAGTAATAAAAAGCACTTGCTTAGAATGTGAGAGTCTTGGGGTTTAGTCCCCAGTACCTCCGAAACAAAAAATGAATACAATGAAAATAGAATTATAGATTCAATATTAACTGACCTCTCTTGCTGACTGAATACGTTTAACCTGAAGTCAGTTGACTATTGAAAGGAGGAAGACAAATGGGATGTGCTGTAAACACCAATTTCAGAGCTGCAGGGATGAACGAAGGATCAAAGGTCATCCACTATTTGTGGCGTTCCTGCCCAGCCTAGGCTGCACAAGACTTTTGAAACTGTATCCCTAGATAGAGTTCACCCTTCACCCTCCCCCCAACCACCCCCCCAAAAGAAAACGTAGATGAAGCCAGGCATGGTGCACTCCATTGAATACACCAATAAGAGATGTTATAGACTCATATTCCAGTTATTGAGGAGACTGAGGCAGGACTGTTCAACGACCTGCCTTCATATCCATCTTTGGGGTCTTCACATGAGGTTCCAGCTGAACTAAAAGCTGAAAATTAAGCCAAAGGAATCTTGGGTAAGGTGGTCTCTAATCAGTTGTTGGAACAGTGTCGAATCTCTCTATCCAGGAGACAGTTTCTTCCTCTGGCTGGCACCAGGCTTCAGCCTTTTCCTTCTCCCAACATGTGATTCCTGAAGAAATTCCAATTCCCAATAGCCAAAGATATATCTGTCCCTTCACCTTCCAGGACTTTTATCTATATGGCCCTCTATGCTAGGCTTGGTTGTGGCTCTGCCTTGGGAACTCAGATGTCTGCCCCATCTTGGGGTCTGACAGTTTGCTCTGTTTCAGCATTCACTCAGTCTGGCCTGGTGGCATTTTATTTTCTTTTTTTGTTTTGTTGAGACATGGTCTCACTATGCAGCCCTAGTTGTCCTGGAACTTACCAGGCTTCCCTTAAACTCATAGAAAACCGCTTGCCTCTACCTCCCAAGCGCTGGGATTAAAGGCACTGTCAACATGCTCAGCCGGCAGTTTTCCCTTTTGGTTATGAACCACTTTCCCAATTCTAAATCGTAAGGTTTAGGTTCCTGAATGTGGATTTTTCAAAGGAGGGATTCTGGGTCTACCCCAGAGCTCAAGGTAGATGTTAAGGTCTGGGAAGTGCCACCCAAAGTGTTCAGACATAGATCTCAGTGAAACAGGGCTGGTTTATTGAACGCATACCCCAGTACTGATGGATCAGGGGCTTGGGATCTGAAAGCTATGACCACAGATGTTTCCCAGGGTCCGTTTAAATAGGGAAAACCTACATTGAGCTCACACACATGTGCGGGGAAGGCTGTGGGGTGGTCGGCCTTTTTCCAAGGTTTTTTTTTTTTTTTTAAATAGTTTAGAGAATAGTTCAAGCTGTCCTCTGTCTTGCTTGGCTCTAGTGAAGGCTACAGTTGGGGAATTTCCAAGAACAATAATAATAAACCTCAGAATATATGGTCAACTTGACCTTGCTCTGAGCCAGACTATTTTCTGTGTCTATAGTCAAGGTGTTGTTGACTTTGTTAGCAGCATGAAAGACTCGAAGGCGTGAAACAAAGGGGTTACAGCAAAGCAGGGGTGATTTTGAGCTAGGGAGCGGGCTTCAACAGTAGATTCAAGTGCAGATGTGAAAGATTCTGAAAGAGCCTCTCACATGACTTCCATAACCTGCCAGATGGGAATCACCCACTTAGTTTAGGGTTGGCTCGCTTGGGCCAACTCATGTTGGCAGGTGACTTTAACCTTCAGCCTAAGGTGCTCCCTTATCACCCAGTACAAGACAGGGTTGGTCGGGCTCCCTTGAAATGCAAGGTATGGAATAGGAAAAGGATCTAACTCTTGTGATAGGCTATAGGCTACATATTATAAATTTCCCCAATTTTATACATTGTCAAAGCTGAAGGCAGGTGCGGTAGCGTACTTCTGTGATCCCAGCTACTGGGATGTGGAGGCAGGAGGCCTGCTGAGAGTTTGAGGCCAGCTTGGCCTGTTTAAGCAATTTTGAGGTCAGCATAGGCTACAGAGCCAGATCCTGTCTCAAAATGAAAAGGCTAAGGCTGGGTAGGTCCAAGCACTTTCAGTTAATTAGAATTTTTCTTTTCCCTTCCTTCCTTCCTTCCTTCCTTCCTTCCTTCCTTCCTTCCTTCCT